CTGTACTGAGAGTAAACAATACAAGGTGTCCCTATTTTTATTAGGGCTGTCAAGTTAACGCGTTAATAACGCGTTAACGTCACTAATTATTTTAACGCGATTAACACATGTGCATTTTTTGTCCTCGGCCTCCCCGTAGTTTCAGAGCGCATCAAGTTTAAAATACCATCTATACAATCCAAGCACACTGCTGATGCCGACAGCCCCGCTCCTGTTGCCCNCACTGTGTCGAAAATACACAACTTGTATGAAGTCCAAAAAGCGAAAGTAGAGGAGGATTTAAGAAAGACTCACCGGAGACTATTGGACTTCACTCAGTAATGACAGTTACCTCGGGGTCACAGCGCATTATTTTGACCCACAGTGGGAACTTCAGTCTCATGCTTTGACAGTTATGAAAACAGAGGAGCGGCATTTCGCCGACAACTGCGCCGACACACACAGACACAAACACACACACACACACACACACACACACACACACACACACACACACACACACACACACACACACACACACACACACACACACAAACACACACTTGAATTGAGGTGAATATTTGTAATGTTCAGAGATTGTTGTGTTTAATATTCATGAGAATTTTTGTCATTGTTCAAATGATAATAAACAAACATTTGCATAAAGCATATTTGTCCACTAATATGTTGATAAGAGTATTAAAAACTTGAATAATATCCCTCTAAGGAACATTTAGAACAGATACAAAATGTGCGATTAATTTGCAATTAATCGCGATTAACTATGGACAATCATGCGATTAATCGCAATTTAATATTTTAATCGACTGACAGCCCTAATATATATATATATATATATATATATATATACACGTTTTCTGGAAACATAGAAGCTTCGGCCATTCCCCAGTGGGTTTTTCCTGACTTATTTTGTCGTAAAAACAAACGTGAACATTTCTTTGAAAGCTTGTGTTAACCACAGACCATATTTTAGGCATTTTACCACAAACTCACTAAAATTAAACATTGACTCCTATCATTTACTCCCTCTCCCTCTGTAGATGACACGGTGGCGGCAGAGCGGGAGCCCGGCGAGGTGGTGGACAGTCTGGTGGGCAAACAGGTGGAGTACGCCAAAGAGGACGGAGGCAAGCGCTCGGGCATGGTCATCCACCAGGTGGAGGCCAAGCCCTCCGTCTACTTCATAAAGTTCGACGACGACTTCCACATCTACGTCTACGACCTGGTCAAGACCTCCTAAGACCAGAAGACCCGGTCCAGGATCGGGACCCCATAAAAGACTTACTGAGACCTGCCTAGACCCTCCGAAAAACAAAACAAAACTCCCCAGTGAAGAACAAGTGATTTGAAACAGCCATCTGGGACGGATGATATCATTCATAACGCTTGCTTTCATGGAACGCCGTCAACACAAGAAAAATACTTCATTATGGAACCCCCCCCCCAAGACAGGAGAACCACCACCTGCTCCACCTGTATTCAATGATATATCCATCATCATCAGTGTCCAGATGTTAAGTTCCATTAGGATTCTTCAAGACACAAAATGGTTTGATTACCCGAAATAAGACCAAGTTATTTGACATAATAGATTTTAAATTTTTGGAATATTAGTAGCAATACTTAACGAATCAGAAAACAAATTTTCTCCAAGCTGATAGGACCCAATCTTGAGATCTTCCTAGAGAACAGGAAACGTCCCCCATCGCATTATCCTCCCCTCCAGAGTGGCAGCAGGTCTGAAACTATTTAAGTAAACGGAACCCCCCTCTCCTGAAACCTTGTCAGAACGCTTGTTGGGGGGGGCGGACCGGTCTGCCGTGGTTAATGAAGGGTTGGGACTTCAGGAAGAAAGAAACCTAGAGATGAAGTGAAAGCTGAACCATCGTCTCCATTTGTGTTTATCCAAGGTCAACGGTGACTGGGTTTCAATTAGAGGAAGAACTCATCTCCAATCAGCATTTTACTGACCACTGAAAGAGTGGAATAAAGTCTGAAGCGCACCGTGGAGAAAACAGACAATGCGGACTACTTTCTGTTTCCATCCGTTCACCATTTGTGTTGATGCCGATGCCTTCATTACCCATAATGACTTGAGGTTTCAGCAGGAGAGGGTGTGTTGATTCGGCTTCATCGGTAAGCATCGTTAGCTGTCCTCTGGTCAGCCGATTCTCACTGGAAGCGCTTGTGGTCGCCGCACAGATTTAGTTTTCAGTGGGAGTGCTAATGATGCTAACGAGCTAATTCCATGAGTCCTAGGCCCTGGATAACGAGGGTGATGCTGAAACATGTTCACACAAACGTTTCATGGATTCTGCTGAGAATAAGTTCAGGTCACACAAAGAAAGGTGAGATGAGAAGATAGATATCAGTTATTGATACGTCCAGGGTGTGTTGAGGGTAACACTATACTTAAAACTCATATTCAACACTTTAATAAATACGTAATAAATGGTTTATAGCACACTACAAAGTATTAAGTAAATAAAAATGAAGAAGCAATGAAAATAAGTTTTTCACTAATTTATTAAACAACACTGAGATTATAACTAAATGATAGTGTGTTATGAACCATTTTTGTACATATTTATTTGGAACTTTTAAGGTGCTTATCTGTGAGCAAAAACTTGACGCGTTTCCCAAAATGTTTGAATGAGTGGCTTCGCTTGGACGTCTGATGCTGTATTGATCCGTTCCGATCAGTCCTGACTGTGAGGAGAAAACTAGCAGTGGCTATGCCCCGCCCCCTGTGTGCGGCGCTGTTCTCTGATTGGCTGGACTCAAGCACAGATGTGCTTTGCTACGGACCAAACCGATCCAGTGTTCATCTGTTAAAAGTTGATTTGTATGTTTTTATAAAAAAATCTTTCCCGTTCTTATCTCTTCTTCTGCTTTCATATCGGCGCCCTGTATCGTTTTAACTCTTTGTTTATATGTTGATATGAGCCGGCACATACGGACCGCCTTGTTACCTCTGTATATTATCTGTTCATTTGTTTCACGTCTTCTGTTCTGTGTGCACTGTATATTACCCAGTTAGCTGTAGGAAGTTTCAATTTCAACCAAAATGACTGAAGTTGTCCCGACTGCACTCCACTGGATCTGGTTGATATGTAGGATTATTATTATTATTGTTTATCTTTGCTGACAGACAAATCTCTCCTTTATGTAGTGTTGGGGATTTCCACCTTTGCAATCAGTTCCAGCTCCCTGTAGAGTGGTGCAGTCCTAAAACCTGGGAATGATTCAGCGTTTAACAACTTCCAGTTCCATTTGGTTTCAGCGTTATCTTGGTTACATGCTTGGAGAAAGGTCTGTGCTAAACACAAGTTTAGGAGTTTCACGTTTTCTTCTACCACCATAAAGTGCGTCCTTGTGAACTTCTGAAGTTTTTACACATCATAAAAGCAGCGTTTGCTTAACAATTTAAACTACTAAACATCATTGCGCCAAGCATAACTCGCCTTTAGCTTAGCAGTGGTGATGCGAGGACAGGTTTATTTATAGCCTAGCCTTAGCATTTACAAATACTATAGTATAAGTGCTGTTAAAATGTGGAGATTATCCTGCGGAACTAAACGGGTGTTTGCCGCAGATCTTATTTTCCCATTGGATTTTTGTCGAGGAAGCCCTTGTGATGCTAACTTCCTGGTTGGCCAACAAAATACACTGACTGCACCGCTCTATACAAATGTTCCCTTTTTCTTTTACGGTTCAGTCAGGGGTTTTGGAAGATCTCGCAGAATCCTCTGCTCGTAGCTCCTCCCAACAAGAACCCCACTCCCCCATTAGCATTAAACAGCCATGTTGCCTGATCCATGTCTCCTGAAGGGACTCGAACATCTGTTTGAAAGAACATGGATGTCACAACGTTTTGTTCATTTGTTTTTATTCTCGAACCTGCGTTGCTGTTCTGAAATCTGCCGTTTGATATTGTGCAATGTGTTTCACCGTTCTGATACTAGTCCATGGAGACTCCTGAAGTGAACGTTCCTTCTCCAGTCTTTGGTAACGTAAATACGCTTTGTGGAACACACACAACACACAATCTGCAGCCTCTTTGTTCAGGAGCCGACACGCTGTTTGTGTGTGTGTGTGTGTGTGTGTGTGTGTGTGTGTGTGTGTGTGTGTGTGTGTGTGTGTGTGTGTGTGTGTGTGTGTGTGTGTGTCGCTCTCTCTCCCCCTCCCTGTTCAGAGCAGTGTTGTTTTTGCATGCATGCATAGCTCAGTGTAAATCGATGTGAGTTGCATGTCTGTGTAGTTTTCAGTTGTTCGGCTGACTTTTGTCTGTTGTGGCTTTTTTTTTTTTGTGCCTTTGTTTTGATTTCTGTTTTTTCTTTGCCCGTTTCTTTTTGTACTATGTGTCCCAGAGGCTACTGCTGCTGTTTTTTTGGGGTTATTGAGCATAAAATAGAAAAACAAAGAAAATCCTCCTTGAAACAGAGCTGACAACAGTGTGTGTGAATTCTGTTTCTGTGTGGAGTGTCCCCTTTAAACAGTGCCAACTACAGATTCCAGTGTTGTACAGAAGCTCACAATATTTACTAAAATAAACCATTTCTCTGTTTTTTCAATCACCAGCCTGTCACTTTCTTTATGTTTTTACACTTGAATTTGATGAAAGAGACGTCACAACAAGAAGTATGAATGTAGACCGGTAAGGGCAAAGAACAACCAATATATATCTTGGTGGAAAGAAAAATGAATCAATTTAAATTAAAAGTGACATTAACTATGGTAAGAAACTTAAATAAGTGTGTTGTGTTTTTAAAAAAAAACTAAAATCCCATATATATATTAATAATAATTATAATACACTTTAGTTGAAAAGCAAACTTTAAAAACATAATCTCAAGATGCTTCACAGTTCAATGAGTGTTAAAGAGTTAAGAATGATCTATAAACATGAAAGAAGCAGGACATGCAGAACTAGGGAGTTTAGTTTAAACACAGAGCATATAAGGTACAAAAGAAAACTATGTATATAAATACAACAGAGTAGTAATAGTATAATAATATAATAGTAATAAGATATTCCATCCTGTAGAATTTCTTTAAAGATGCAATGTATATAATACAACATTTAGAAAAAACTAATGTAATTATAATAATAATGATTAAGATTCAAGACTTTATTTTATTAAAGTCCAAAATAATAAAATGTGGCAGTCTTCCAATTACAGTGTATGTGAAAAACTGAGTTATTATTGATCACTTGAATAAAACAATATTCAGGACTGCAATGAAATATAATTCTCATTCAGGTTAAAAAAAATCCTCAAGTTAATATAAAGGTAGAAGGCAATTCCATGAAAAGGATAAGACATGATTAAATTATGTGCTTACATTGATAAAAAGCTTTTTTCAAAAGCTTTCGAAATGTGATTTAAACATGACTCTAAAAGAAATGAAATAAATTAACATAACACATATGAAATAATAAAAATTATTTGCATTTGTATTGAAAACCCGCAGTTACTTTTTTTTATATACACGAACATCATAGGGTGCATTTGCCCTTCCACACCACTGGATGTCGCTGTTGCTTCATTTTACAGTTTGCACTCCCACAATGCACCTCTCAAGATAGTTTATAAGACTTTGCCTTTCTAGCTGTTAAATACAAATATAAACACAGAGGTGGGTTTTACACTGTTTTCTATTTGTAACTTGAGATGATCTAAGGCACGTATTCTAATATTGAATACTTCAAATGTGACACCGTGAGTCAGAGAGCCAGAGAGGAGAAACACTTTGCCTGAGCGCCACGTTGGCCATGTGATCTTTCTGGTTCATGAGTGTGATGATTGGTGATCTCACGGTCCATCCGTGATAGGTGCAGCCCAACCTTGTTACGCACTGCACCTTAGCCCTTCTGATCCTGAACCAGGAGTCACATACACAGCAAACTGTTGGTGTTTTCGTCAGAAAGTCAATGCCACTGAAAAGTTAAGATGACAACAATATTTTTGTTCAGTGTGAAATAATTTATAATTGTTCCCCTTTTAAAATATATGGTTTGAAATACTATTATAGCGCACTGAGGGCAACTAATTTCACATTTGGATGTCGTTTTCATTCCAGCTCTGCAAAATGATCAATAACTTATTTAATGTTTCAGGGGTGTCAAACTCAAGGCCCGGGGGCCAAATCTGGCCCGCGACTAAATTTGATGTGGCCCGCAAGAGCTTGCAAAGAATATAATACGTTTATACGGTTACATGCCACTTTACAGAAGCAAGTTGCCCATGAACTTCATGTCCCACAATGCATCTCGTTTTGTGACATGCGCACTGAAGAAACTTGCAATTATTTGCCCTGGACTTCTGCTTTCAGACGTTATTATCCTATCCGATAATAATCCAAGTCAGAGGCAATAATGTCATATAATACATTATTTTATATATATTATATATTTATATTTGTATATTTATATAGTTACCACCGACCCTTTGCTGATGTGGCCCGCGATGAAATTGAGTTTGACACCCCTGGTTTAAAGGCTATAGTTAATAATGAACTATCAGAATACGGGTTATTTCTATGTAATCTATTAAAAACAATATGTAATTAATATGTAGCGATAGACATAATGCATTTTTCCTAACCACCCTTTATGATATAAAGTTTATGTCATACCTAACTCAATACATGATTTCTTATTTCAGTACCCTTTTAGAACATATAGACAGTGGCGGTTCTATACCAAATTGACCGGGGGGGCCACTGGGGGGCCAGTTATTTTCTGAGGGGGGCACAATAAATGCAGGACGAAAAAGAGAACTAGACAGTATGAAGTAATTGCGCATAAGAAAACAATGCAATACAGTTATTGGTATTTGTTTCAGTACACTTATTTATTTCAGATATATCTTATAGTTATTACTGTTAGCTTCAGCTTAAGTTATAGTACAATTTTTGCACTAACACCATATCATATTTATATAAAAATAAAGGCAATGAACAGTTACATCTCTACTTTACATCTACAATTACACGGATACAATAGTTT